GGGAAAGATATGGAATAAAATAAATAGATGAAGGAAGGAATAAAGAAAAACAGAGAGAGGGATGATCTGTGGGGGGAATTCCCCAAACATGTGCTTCGTTGGGATAAGGCAGTCCTCTCAAAATCCCTCTTTTTACATCAAAATATGTCCCTGTGAAATTTTCGCTCAGCCCTAGCAGAAACCAATGTGTGTGGGTTAGACAGAAAAACTAACAGAGTAATCTAGTGGTTACTTACTGGCATGGTGCAGTGAGAGATAAAGTAACATAGTAAATATAAGGAAGAAGTCCCTGGTTCACATCTCATAATAACCATGAACTCCCCGTAGATCTGCATTGCTCAATGGAATGTGTGACTAATGCACACATATATTTGTAAACAAATTTCTCATATAATACATAGTTGGGGTTGCCTGCCATTCCTTTTCAACTATACTCTCAGTCACAAATCAATATTTGTTGCTAAGCAATCTGTGGACTGACCAGACAGGCATCTATAATCACCTCATGCTCCACCCGCCCTGTAATATAAGAAATATAGTCCCCCCCCGATACAGAATTCCTTTTAAAATTGCTACAATAATGCATATTTGGACACCCAGGAAGATTGCTGAGACAGCTGGCCACCAAACCTGGGGGGGGGGGTTTGTCCCCATCTCGGATGATTAATATAGGTATAGCACCGTATTATTGGAAGGTTTTATTGTGATTTTAAATGTTTTATTTATTATATACTGTATTGTATTTTGCACTCGGCTTTGCCGCATGTGAGCCGCCCTGAGCCTTTGGGAGGGTGGGATATAAATCAAAGTAATAAATAAATAATAAAATAAATAAATATAATTTACCAAGAGCATCTCTGTAAATGTTTTGTCCTGTGGCTATGCATAGCTATATATGAGAAGAGTCTTTCAGAGTCTGCACATATAGGTCAAGAGGTGGTAGAAAGAAAAAGATTGGATCCCTTCTGCTAAATGAGAGATCTTCCACTGCAGGTATATAGGCAGAAAGAGTCTTTTCTGTAATGGAAGGAGTTGTCCAATGGAAGGTCCTTCACTTAATAAAAGGAAACCACTGGAGTGTCAAGCTCAGCTCACTCCCTGCTAGACTAGCTTGTACCTTTAGAGCATTTTTATACCGAGCACATTTTAAAAATGTTATCCTCCACCTGCTGACTGAAGTGGAAAACTCCCACTCTGCCACCTCAGGACTTCACCATCTCATTCTTATTTCATTCTATCAAATGGATTTAGATTGTGTCCATGTTCTGAATAAGACTGGATGTGTAAAAAATTACCTACCTCGCTCACATGACCTGCCCAGATAGCCTGTACCAGAACAATCACAGACATATCTGTTCCAGCCATCCCTACACACGCCATTATTTTTACAAGGATTGCTCAAACATGGCTTTGCTGTTTCTCTTGAACACGAAGGCTTCACCCCAGAAGTGCTCTGGATTTCTGCCATTTGCCGGATGTCTTTGCTTTGGCCATCAATAAACAGGTCCCGAATGCAGCCCACATAGCCATAATTGAGTAGTGCTGTCCAGACCTCTGTTGGAAAGACCAACCCTGCTTTGTTTTCTGGCAAACCTCCAAGATATAAGTCATCATCTAGGTCCAGGATCTCACTCTCTCCAGGTGCAGTATATGGAGTACGCATCGTATTGACAGAAATAGTACCTGTTTAGGAACAAAACACATGAATTTTAGCATATGAGCTTGGCTTTCAAAGAAGATAAATGTGACTGCAATAAAGAAGGCCAATGCTATGCTGGGGATTATTAGGAAGGGTATTGAAAACAGATCAGCCAATATAATAATGCCCCTATATAAATCAATGGTGAGACCTCATTTGGAATACTGTGTGCAATTCTGGGCACCACACCTTAAAAAGGATATTATAGCTTTGGAAAAAGTGCAGAAAAGGGCAACTCGAATGATAAAAGGGTTGGAACACTTTCCCTATGAGGAAAGGTTAAAGCGCTTAGGACTCTTTAGCTTGGAGAAACGACGACTGAGGGGTGACATGATCGAGGTTTATAAGATTATGCATGGGAAAGAGCAGGTAGAGAAAGAGGTACTTTTCTCCCTTTCTCACAATACAAGAACTCGTGGGCACTCCATGAAACTGCAGAGCGGTCGGGTTAGAACGGATAAAAGGAAGTACTTCTTCACCCAAAGAGTGATTAACACATGGAATTCACTGCCATAGGAGGTGGTGGGTGCTACAAGCATGGACGGCTTCAAAAGGGAATTGGATAAGCATATGGAGCAGAGGTCCATCAGTGGCTATTAGCCACAAGGTATAGCTAGGGGCTCTGGGGCAAGTGATGCTCTGTCTTCTTGGTGCTTGGGGGGGGTCAACAGTGGGAGGGCTTCTAATGTCCTGGCCCCACTGCTGGACCTCCTGATGGCACTGGTATTTCTGGCCACTGTGTGACACAGAGTGTTGGACTGGATGGGCCTTTGGCCTGATCCAACATTGGCGTCTCTTATGTTCTTATGTTCTTATAAGACAAATCCATGGAGTACTGGTCTATCAACAAATGCAGTTCAGATAACTAATTGGAACCTACATGTTTAGAGTTGCTGGGAAATGTCTTATGCCCTGCCTGTGCATCCAATGGGCCACGGTGCAACACACACTGATGGACTAAGTGTGCCTGCTCTTTTTATATTGCCATGTCATTCTGCCACTGCCAACTGTATTTTGTTGTGTTGAGATGGTAATTTCTTCTCCCTTTCTTTCCCTCTTTCCATAATGCATGGTGCACCTGTTCAGGGTGCACTTTGGTCAATAATGCATGGTTGAGTTATACTGGGCTAGTGGATAGATAGTCTTACCTTGTTCTAGAGTTGTCTTAAAACATCTTTTGGCCACTTTCAACTCTATAAATTTATCTAAAAATCTGTTACACCTTCCTGCAGCCTGAAGGTTCATGGCAAGACATTTGAATATAAAATGTATCCCCTTTCTCTCAACTTTGCATAGGATCTAAACTTTCCTGATTAGGATACATTCCATGTGTAATCCCAGGGAAATCACTCTAATGACTTTCCCTCAAATTTCAAAGAATTTTGAAGACTGTGACTCAACGATAAAAGAGGGAACACTTTGGAGACCACACAGAAAGGGCTGTTGGTTTACTAAAGTGATCTGTGTACACAATTACAATTTCACAACATAAACATAATATATAGTTTTATATATTAGGTCTGATATGTTAAGGTCTAATTTTGAGGATTTTTCTATTTTATGTGTGTTTGTTTCTATATGGCAGAAGTGCATAATCTTGATAAGCCAGTGTTATGTTGCTCAGATCTGAAGCTCTGGAAGCAGCCATTCTAAACCTTGTATATTCCAGAAAAGCAAATGCCACATAGTGGGCTAAAGCAGGGTTCCCCAACATGGCACCCATGGATGCATTAAGGTATTAATCATGCATTAAGTCATACATATGTTGAATATAAGTATGAGAACAAAGAAAAATCATTGCTAAACGTAAGTGAACAAACACACAAATCCTGCATACAATGTACATGCATTTTATGTCTGCTCACTATAATGTTGTAGAGGGTTAGTGCAGTGATGAGGATAAACTGGGGAGGATGAAATCTAGTATGCTGCCCTGAACTCCTTCAAAGAAGGGCAAGGCAAGGATCTCATGCTTTGTCCTTCCTTGCTCCATCCCTCAGGATACCCAGATAAACCAATCAAACATTCAAATTATTAACGATCCTTCCTGACGCTAATCAGGGACCCATCTCCCATCTTTTGTCTGTATCTGGGAATCTATTCAACTGCTTTGGCAGGACCATCAGTGGACATAAAATCCATTCAGCTAGCCCCAGTACAGTCATCCAGCAGCTGGCTTCTGTTGTTAAAGCCTGACTCTGCCCCTCTGGAAGCTTACTGGTCACATCTAGGCCTTGCCCATCTTGATGCCACACACCCCTGGGATTCATCATTGGCCCAGGTAATCTATTGTTCTCACCTGAGACCAGCCCCCAAGGCTTTCCATTGGTCTGCATTGTTTTCTAATATCTATATCTGTGCAGGACATGGCGTCAGACTATGTGCCTCTGCCCCAATGCCAACTGGCAGTCCTCCCCTAAACCTGTGGGTTTAGGCCATAATTGCTTCTTCATGAACCTCTGCATGTCTGGACAGGTAGTATCACCCCATAACTGATCCCTCTATTAGCTATCAATCACCTTTGCTTTCTTAGTTCTGTATTGTGTGTGTGAATGTTTGATTTTATGTTTAGTAAAGAAATCACTGCTTTAGTAATCTAGCCTCTGCATCTATTTCCGGGACTGGGAAATCAAACTCCTGTATAAACAGGTTCTGATCCTATATTTAATGCCTATTGCCATTTAATACTCATAATTCCACACATTTATTAATAAATTAAGGTAATTTGGCTAACAGAGTAACCTACTTCACAGGGTTGTTGTGAGGATAAAATGGAAATGAGAACAATGTTTGCTCCTTTAGATTTCCATTGGGGAGAAAGGCAGGGTATAAATGAAGCAAATAAGTAAAATAATTACATAAATACATACATTTATGTCATAAATCCAGTGACATAAAGTATTACGCCAGGATCTGACATAAATTAGACCTTGTTGGGCCGAGCCATGTGTATCATAAAATGTAATGCCAGGTAGTGGAGATATAAACTTTATAAAGGACACAAACACAAAGTTTTTTTTTTACTTAAAACAAAAACATGCTTAAAGCATTAGCACTCTTGCAATATTTTCTTTATTTAACAGTGTCTGATAACTGACACCTCTTGCTCTGAATTATTGCATCAAAATGTCTGTGCTGTTGCAATCTTGAGTATGCTGTTCAGGTGTGCATCTGTAAGCTGCAAACCTACGATGACACAGCAGCAGCAGAACTGGAAGAAGAAGCAGAAGCCAGCCAGTTCCACTGCGGGCCTGATAGAAGCCCTCCAGGGGGGGGCTGATTCAGCCCCCGGGCCGCATGTTTGACACCCCTGCCATATAGAGTATCACTCTTTTAGGACTTATGAAATGAGCTCCTTGCCAGTTCCTTGATTCTATGCATCATCACCCCATAACTGACTATTATGATTCATTTTTAAAAGTACTCAGACCAGAAAGCCTCAGAGGGTTGTTTTCCCCTAGAAAGCACGAGGGCCAGTCCATTAAAAACAGTATTTAAGACTGCAATGAATAAGCACAGGAACTCCTAGATGGCATAAGAGAAGAAAGGGGGGGGGGGAGCACTCTACTACATTGGTTTGAAATGGATATCTGGAAAGTGCTGAGTGCGAGTGTGATTACTCTAAACCTCTAATTATATACTCTGGAGACAGCCGTGTGCCTTTTTCTCCCCCTGTAATTTCTAGCGCTTAAACTGGAACTCTGACTTTAATTCAAAATCTCAATGACTCCTTAGCCCTTAAATGCTGGCTTAGCTGTTAAAAACTGCTGATACAATCTGGTTTATACCGCCAAGCACAACTGGAGTTTGACAAGAATAATAAGTTCCCACTCTGATGCCGATGTGTAATGATGATTCCTGAACTAGTGAATGGCAGCTGGGTGTGTGAGAAAGCATTGTGAAATTCTTTCTTGACTACACTGAAGAGACTTCACACATATTCAAATGACACTCCAGCTTGACTATGCAAGGATTAACATGTTGCATGTTGCAAACCCCACAGAGAGCAAAGAATTTTGCTTTTTGTTTTGTGGGATTTCCCTCCCTCCACTTTTTATTTAAATGCCAAGCTGGCAGTGCTGTAACAGCAGAAGAGCCAAACATCTCCCATAGGTATGTGCTAATGAGCCTCTTCAATCATATTCATTATCTCAGCAATTTAGTTCTCTTAAGTCTGCTTACTAAAACCAAGACATTCGTGCTCAGATGTATTTCTAAATCTCATCTCTATCAGTTGTGCTCTGTTGTTGTTTCTTTTTAAAGTGAGCGAGAATGAAAGAGCAGCTGGTGTACCCACCTTTATATTCAAGTTTATCCTCTTTGCTCTATTAAACTCTGGTGCAATATCCTCTTAATTGCTTATTTGAAAATGAAGAATTCTTTCTGATGTTTTGAAAGTGGCCCAAATTAGTTCCCTAGCAGTAAATGCATACTGGCTTTCTGTATGTGTTAGCACACTGATTCAGCAAGGCTGCTGAGAGCCACCACAGGCCCCTGGACAAAAAAAAATCCACCTGCCCCCCCCCATGGCCCTGATCCAAAACAAAACAAATCACTCAGCTTTCTGTAACTTTGAACAGAATAATAAATGGTACCTGGGAATAAGCCCTATTGAATTAAATGAGGCATCAGTCTCTCTCAAACAGTACTAAACTGCAAAAAAGACTATAAAATATTTCTACTAACCTGAAACAAATAAAACAAAACAAAAAAAAACACAAAGTCACAGAATGCTTAATGGAGGAAAGAAAATTGGGGAGATGTGAGAAGTCAGTTTCATAGTCCAGGGAGAGGAGGCTGGTGAGTTGAATCTCTAGATGGCCTTTTCTTCTTGTACCTACACTAACTTGAGAAACTCACCTAAGGCATCCACTATTCCACATTTATAACCTTGAATACAGATTAATACAGATCACAATGCATCTAAAGTGTAAAGATACCCTTTCACTACTTTGATAGATTCTTTGGAAATATTAACTCGACA